AAAAAACAATATTCTTATTTAAAAAAAGAGTGTTGTTGTCTGAGGTTTGTTATAGAAGTGTTATAGAAGTCAATAAACTGAAAAGGCTCAGAATTTATCTTATCCCAAGTGCCCTGGCCTGTGGCTAAATATCCGAGATTTTATGAGAATCTTCTGGAATAAGTGTTCCGATTAGAGCCCTGCCAAACATTCCAACGAAGAAGAAACAAATTAACTGCCGATGCTTGGTGACTAACCACTCCTTTTGAGAGACTTACGTGGAACAGAAGACCAAAATGTAAATCAATAATTATCATGAACTCTTCTTTTTGAAATGGCTTTGGTATTAATCGCGTGACGGACACGCGTGAATAAGCTGATATCATATAAACAACACGGCCTGTCGAGGTCTGGCTGGGGTCACCCTATGACTCTGTTAAAGCAAGAAAAACAACGCAAAATCTGTTTCTTATTTCATGCTACGCATTTTTAATCAGCATTTGATAAACGGTTAAAAGAATTCTGTTCTTCGTGGCTCCTTCAGACCAACAAATTCTTTACTGAAGAACTGCCCATTTGCAGAGCAGCGAAAAACATCAAGGACTTGAAGTAAACGTTATTCAGCGGTATTGACACAGTTATGATTTACATGAGAAGAACAAAAGATAATAACCGCATGGGGATCAAATGCTCTTTTTATAGCTGTAATTTCACGCTTGTTTGTTATTGTTGGTTGTGGGAAGAATCTGTCGAAGAAAAACTTGCTCGCACCAGACCAAGACTCCATGAAAGCTCCAGTGAAGGACCAACTTTAGTTTAAGCGCAGCGGAACACAGACAGTGTAAAGAAGCGCCAGTGAGATAAGTTTGAAAACGTTTGTGAGTTGCAAGTTGGTTGCGTCACGTTACCGAGCTAAGACTTGCTTTGCGGAGAAGAAAACACGAGATGTTCGGAACAGAATTGCTTCCTTGGACTCGACTTTCAGTGCGTATTCGAAACAACTTTGGACATAAGTACAGGATTATCAGCATTTAGAAACGGGCATGGCTTCTAGTCCTGTTTGGAAAGTGCGGGTTAACCCTAACCGCTATCAAAGTGTCCCTACGTGTGGCGATGACATAAGTGAGGACTGTAGCGGTCGTAGAAGGTCAGGTTCCTCTGACGACAGCCCTCTTTCGTCCCCGCTTACAAACCGCAAACCACAGAAGGGAAAAAGCCTGGGCGCACCAGGTCTTAACAACAACTACAAAGATATCTGGTCCAAGCGCGTGAGGGACGGAGCTGTAAAGGAAATTGTCCTTAGTCCTAGTAGAGCTGACACTGGTTGTGATAAGCGAATTACAATCAATATCTCTGGAACGAGGTTCGAAACTCTCGAGAGCACGCTGGCAAGACTGCCAGACTCATTGCTTGGATCGTCGATAAAGAAAGCACCTTACTATGATCCCATCCATAACGAATTCTACTTTGACAGAAACAAACATGTCTTTGACAGTATCTTGTTCTATTACCAGTCAGGGGGGCCCGCCGGTGGCGTTCTTGTGAAACCGGATGGTATACCCGAGGGGACATTCTTGGAAGAAGTCAAATTTTTTGAACTGGGAGAGGACGCGGAGACGAAGATTGGAGCTGACGATCAAACAGAGAAGAAACTTGGCCGCGGTCTTGAGGCTGTCTCAGCGAATATTTCATATTGTGAAACTTGTTCATCGAAAATCAGAATGCTTTTCGATACAAGCCAAACAAGGAAAGCATCTCCTTTGCGTAGAGCTATAGATGTCTGGATGATTTTTGTAACAATCTTTTTCATCATTTTGCTTTGCGGTAAGACGTTACCTTCCCTAAGAGAGGTTTTCGTTTTGGACCAGTGCTGCGAACGATACGAAAAAAACGCTTCAGTGGGCTTTTTCTGGTCATTTAGCGAAAAATTCTGCATATCTTGGTTCACGCTCGAATACGCTCTGCGCACGTTGAGCGCAACGAAAAAATCATTGTACTTATTGTCAGCACAGGGTATTTTTGACATGTTGTCGTTTTTCCCTTATGTAATGACAATCATAATCCAAGTGGTGGTACCAGGAACGGCGACAATTCCTTTCCAACGCATTCTTATGTTTCTAATGTTCTTTTCAGTCTTCAAGCTGACTCGTTACTCTCTTGGGCTGCAAGTACTCATGAAGACAATTCAGACAAGCTTGCAAGAGCTGATGTTACTGCTGGTGTGTGTAGGCATCAGCCTGGTGTTATTTTCGTCGGTGATATATTACTGCGAAAGTTCTGAGGACTCCACGGATTTCAACAGCATCCCGGCAACGTTCTGGTTCACTATCGTTACCATGACAACTGTGGGGTACGGCGACCTGGCGCCCGTTACAGTGGCGGGAAAAGTTTTCAGCGCGCTTTGTGCAGTGTTTGGAGTTTGTTGTGTTCTAGCAATTCCATCAACAATTATTGTGACAAATTTTAACTTCTTTTATTTAAAGCATAAGGCGAAACCAAAGAAACCAAAAAGGCCAAAAACGAGAATGACTGCTCTTCAAAGGTGGGTGACTCGGTTTCGAAGTGTCGCCCTTTGAGACTTATGTGGCCATTGAGACTCATGAAATACCAATCATTGTCATTGGTTCAGACTCCTCGATATTCAATTAAACCAATAATATATGATTACCTATATATATCATTGTTTGCAATGGATTCGGAATATAACATGCCATTCAAGGGGGGGGGGGGGATGCTAGTTTTACTTACTGCTATACACCCCTGTGTAAATTTTGTGACTAAAACTCGCAAAAAATCACTTATCAATGACCATGAATAATTTTAAAATCATATGCGTGACATGTCGATCTGTGTTTATTACATCATAATAAAAGTGGACAGAAGGCGTCAAAATTTATCTTTATTCCTCAAAAATAACGATCTTAAACGACTTTGTGCTAGTCATTTTTTGACAATCGAAATTGTCTTTGGATCGATCTTGTAGTTCACTACATGATAGAAGAATGCCAGTGGTTTTTGAGACTACAAATGTACAAGACCAACAATTTCCTTGAAAACGTAACATTAAAATATAAGTTGAAACAAAGAAAATACTCGACGTGGAGACGGTTAGACTGAATTGGACTAGCAGAGATCTTTACAATTTTATTTCTCCTTTTTCCTCCTCGTTTTACTTTCAATTGAAAAGATTAGATATGTCAAAAACTCGATACATTGTTTTGTTACACGTCCTACATATCCAAATAGCTCGAGGTTGGTCAAAGATACCGCTCGCCCTATGACCAGCTAATCTAACATTCAGATGTCAAACGACGTATGTTTCGATATGTTTAATAAACATAGGTACCCCGTAGTGATTTTAGATTTTCTTAGTGGTAAATCTGTGCCCGAACAAAGCTCTCCATAAAGCATACAAAAGCTTATTATTTCTCGGATTAAGAAATATACAAACACTAACCGTGTTCCCATCGACTTGTAGAAACACGAATGGAATAATGAAGGAGGTACGTCACGGTTTGCACATCTTGAAAAGCTTTTAAAGGCAATTTTGTACGTAGCCAGAGTAACTCAAAATTCCGTGACTAAGCTCCTTTAAGAGAACGAGGAGTGCTGTGAGAGCAGGATAGACCTGCAGGCGGAAAGCTATGGAAAGGTCCATAAACGTGACTACAAAATGTTTGGCTGTGTTTTCATACTCTTAGCAAAATTTGCTGTTCATTTTATATCATTGATTCAAGGATCTGCCACCGTCAACACATATTACCTGCCCCGTGACATAACTAGCCGAGCGAGCAAGAAATTCCACTATATCAGCAATGTCGCTAGGCTCACCCCTGCGATTCAAGGGAATCTTTTTGATAATTTCTGCCTTTTTGGTTTCCAAGGTTACCCCGTGCGTCTTCTCAGGCCACAAAACAGCCCCAGGGCTCACGCCGTTGACTCTGACAAAGGGGGCGAACTCTTTAGCGAGCACCATGGTGCACATGCGCAAACCCGCCTTTGAGATGCAATATACTGAGTGATGTTCCAGCGGTCTGTCAGCGTGAATATCCAGCAGATTAATGATACATCCACCTGAAGCTTTCAGGCTAGGAAAGGCAGCCTAAAAGAATGAAAGGTAAATAAATGATTTAGGCCACCAGTACGATAAGAAAACACTCTGACATATTTAAGCGTCCGCTAAAATCCGTACTATACATGCTGGTTTTCATTTGACGTTGTCATATTTGAAAATTCAAAATTACCTATCCATCTGAGGTTTTAGTTTCATCAGATTTAACACCCTCCCAGAAGTTGATGTTTTACAACGTTTTAGCTCGACAGAGTTCTTCGTTTTGTAATATACTTTGTGCAGCTCGTTTGAATTTCCAAGCTTTTGCGTTGCGTGACATTAAAATGGCGGCCCGAGAAGGATGTAGCGTAGGTCAAAAGATGAGCTGTCGCTTAAATTTTGCTGACTGAACAATTCTCGAACTAGAAGAGGTATTGATTTCAAAAAGAAAGAGAATAGATTTCCTCCATTTTCTGTCCAGTTAAAGAAACCCATGAGAAAGATTAGAGGACTAAACCAATGCTGTGGAAAAATTGATCTACGGCTCGTGTTCCTACAGCACAACGTGTCTCGTTTCCTAAGCTTTCCCTTGTAATTGCATAATCGATAGAAACACGCGGAAAATGTTTTCAACTTGTGGAAAATGAAATTAGACCTCGAACGTTCGGTCTTTGCTATATCGCTCTCGCTCGGTCAATACGGCAAGGGCTCGGTTTGAGATTTTCCCGTAAAAATCTAACTCTCGATTAATAAGTAGTTATTAATGCTGTCCTTTGAAGTCAGGCACCTCCGCGGTAGCGACATTCAAAGATGGCGAATAATAAATAAATAAATAAATAAATATACATTTATATAGCGCCATTTTCCACTAATTGTCCCTGGCGCTTTACAATACTTTAAAATTAAAATCCTAAGTTTTAAATCCTAAAATTAAAATCCTAATCCTTTAAAAACTTAAAATCCTAAATCCTGAAAGTTAAAATCCTAAGAATTAAATACGCTATATAATATAATTAGACTACAAATAAATGAAATGACAAATAAAAATGAATGACCAGACAAATAAATGACCAGACCAGAGAA